TAGAAAAAATGCGAGCGAGGTTTCCTTATTAGGGGGGGGGCGTTTTTATTAGGGGGACTGGATTATCTGTCATATGACCCAAAGTCGGCATCGACTGTATCGTGACAATCATCATCCAAGTATCACAGGTGGCCCCCGAGATGCCGACAGTGGAGGTCCGCCGCTTGCGACCCGTCTAGGCGAGGTTGGGAGTGGGCGTCTGGCTATAAAACCATCCGTATCAACAACACGTATGAGTCTATCTTCAGAGCGCACCACGAAACATCCATAGTTCCCTTTCAAGATCTTTCAAGTATGCAACTCTTCCAGTGTCCACCTCTACTTTCAGATACCACCAAAAATCTCTGATCAGAACAAACCATCCAATCACAGGCTTGGCACCGATACCGGACCATCCTCAAGGGCAGCCGCGGCTGGAGTTGCTTCATGTTTGTCTCAAAGAAGTGCCACAGCTGGTTGTGCCAAACCTGGGACGAGCTGCTGACAAGCTGGTTCAGAATCACGTGAAGTCTTCACTGCCACGAAGAATGTAACTAAATTTGCACGCACTGAGCAGTGTGATTGCACATCACGGTACTTAGATATGTTGGTGCCATGCAGGTTTTGCAAAGACCTTATGAGTGGTCTATCTCTGAGCCCGTCGAACAAAGACCTCCCAAGCCAGAAGCTTCGCGTTGAACTGTCTTGTTCTTCCCTGCAAGTGACGTGTCACGTGGCGCGCTGAGGGCGAAGGACCTGGCTGCCTTCCCATTGGACTTCCTGGCCAAAAAGGGCTCTGACATGACCATGGTCATCGATACGTGTGACCACATCAGTATTGCAGCTAGTCTTGAACCCTCTTCAGGACAGGATGTCGGGATTCTGGTCACATCTATAGCTTGGGTTGACCTAATATCGTTTACATTACACAACAAGCCGCATCGCCATCTCTTTTCTGAGTCAAGACGGACAGAGTTTCGGTCCAGCGACCGAACTGCAGAGCCGTCCACGTTGCACCCCCTCCTGAAGAAGGCTCGCCGCTTCCGTCCGCCGCTCTTGCAGCAGCAGCGACGTGAGCAACGTGGACAAGGTCGTCATGTAGGCGCCGTCCAGGGGAAAACTGAGGCGGTCACGGTGTCGGGTTCTCAACATCTTTCTCCGGATCCAGGCTGGGGTTTCGGTGAGGATTTGCCAGTGATCTGTAGAGAGACACCCATAAGAAGAGCTTTGCCACCCCGCGGGACGCCTTGGAACATGTTGCCTGCATTATTGACATCTAGAATCTAGACTCCTGGATCATCTCAATAGGGCAATGTGCGCCGCATGGTGGATTATTTTGCACAATTTTGAAACAGAAAAGAAGTTGCGTGGGAACGTCTGGGAGCATCTGATTCTCAGGCCTCCGATCTCAAAAATTGCTCTACCTCCCCTCTCCCTCTTGGCCACTTCAAACGGTTTTGCCGTCGAGACTGTTCTTTTCTCAGCTTCCAAAAGCTGCCAATCCCCAAGCTCTAATGCAGTCGAGCAAAAAGCACAACTCAACCGACACCGCAGCTTCGTTTTTTCGGCACAGCCCACGGAGGCGATGCCGAAAGGAAGTTCAAGCGGAACCCATGATCCCCCAAACCATGGGATCCAAAGACCGTCAAAACCGTTCTTCCTTTTCGCTTTTCATTGTTTCTACTAGCGATGGCCTCCAACCTACAAGCAAATGACTCTAGTAGACCTGGATATTCTTCCATCAACGATCTGTTGGATCCCCGAAACGACGACGCAGGCACCGCAGCAGCTGCAGCACCGTCTGCCAGCGTGCTTGGGTGACCGCCCGCGCGGATGCGGCCACGCCCGCGTCCCAGGAGATCACGTCCGGTTGGAGGCCTTGCTGGGGCGAACCAGGAGATGGATGGTTCAGTCAGATTCCACTGCCTAGGATGGACAGCCAAGACCCGGATGCAGGCACTCTGATGTGACAGCCACCCCATGATCCCGTGGGGCCAAAATGCTGGCCTCTCTGGCGCATGTCCAGCAGTGCTGCAAAGGCCCACCACCAGCAAGTGGCTGCTCGCATGCATGCATTGAAGCCTGGATCAATCCAGATGGTTCCAATCGACATCCAAGGATCAATAGCACACACAAAAATGAATAGTAGTATCATGTATTATCCGGGCTTTTCTAGTTAGTTCTATTCCTTCGCCGTTCATTCCCCAAAATACGACGATTTGTTCAGCTGTTGCACAAATTATTGGTTCTTCGAGATGAGGATCTTCAGGGCTTAAACATCAAGCATGAAAAACGTGACTTGGCGTATGCTTTCTCAAGGCCCTCCCCCTTCGAAACGGGTGGAGATGACCACCTCGGCCTTCAAGTCCCCGGTGCATGACCACCAGGCCTCGTCCGGGGATGGCTCAAACCGAAGAAGCACCCTACACCCCCTTGGAAATCGAAATCCCCGTCCACCTACGAGTCAAAGAGGTTTGCGAACCACACCGTCATAGCTATGGCCAAACAGCCAAGATGTGGCGGATTCTTCCCGAGGAGCTCATCTCATCCGACAGCGTCATCAGCCCCAAGGCATGACTCCAGGGCAGGCTGAGCAAGGCACTCTTCACCGCGGGGCGCATGACTCGACACCGCGAATCGGCCTGCGAGGATCGGATGGCCGTGACGACTCGCTCCGCGAAGCGCTGAGCCCGGACCAACCGGGCTCAACAGAAACGGGTCTCAGACGGTTCCTCAAAGGGGCCGAACAGAAATGCCACGCCGCCCACGCAGGAAGCAAACGGTCACTTGGCATTTCATACGTTCTTCAAATTCCATGTGAATTGAAACCCTGAACTGCCATGTATACAATCGGGTTGGTGGTCTACATGGGTGGGGTTCCTCGAATTCTGTAGCGAACCGTGTTCCTAGTAGTAAGGCCAGGAGCCCCTAGTAGCTCCTAGTAGCGATGCCCTTTGTGGAATGTCGTCTTTTCTGGGCCCCCATATCTGGTCGCCGGTCGCACGACGCCCAATTTGACTAATGTGGGATGCGGGCACCTGTCCTGGAACTTAGGTGGTGAAAGAGCTGCAGGGCAGTCGGCCACCTGGGCTGCCAGCAGTGAAGTCATTTTCAATGGAGGATCTCTGCTTCCGCCTACTTGAGGGGAGGCCACCAAAACAGGTGCCCTCTTACCGTTTATTTGGGTTTGGAGGAGACCACCACTACTCCTTCACCGAAATCGGCGGGTTCTTGAGTATTGGACCGGTTGGAACGTGTGAAGAGGAGTCGACCAAAGCACCGAGACGGACGGCGATGGAGTGAGCCCCGCCCGTCCGAGGGAGCACACGAGAAGCCAATCCAGTATCGCAATGCTCAAATGAAGCAACAACCAAACATCTGACTGTTATTCCAACAAAAACGGGGTTGGATTCATTGAAGAATTCAATGTAATTATGCGCAACCTGCGATGAAAGAACCAACGCAATGACGATGTCGGCCAATTGCTACCAAACAAGGAATCCTGAAGCCTGCTTGAAACCAGCCCACTTGAAAGCATGAATTTGAGGCACCACATGATTCACAATTCAGAGCCACGGACCACGGCGGCTTTGGCACGTGATGCCGGAGTTGAAGTGGTTCTTCTCGCAATGCCAATGGTCACCAAACACACGATCCTTCAGATCCCACTTTTATCAGGCCTGTCCATGTGGATCGCTCAAATGGCACCTCCCGAGTCGCTCACCAGGCCCTGACGGCTTTGGTCGGGACACCGAGGAGGGGTCCTTGGCAGCGACAAGCCGCAGGCGTCCAGCAAAGTCCTCTGACAGGTACACGACCTGCGGAGCGCGCTTCGGACGACCGGGCGGTTGATTCGGACCGGTGTACGAGAGGGTTCTCAAAGTCCAAAAAGGCAGATCAAGCTATAGGAAGTTCGAAGCTGGGTGTCCAAGTGAAGATGTTGAGGCAGCATGAGGCATCTACTTGAAGTGGTCCGGTCGGTGAGATTGGGAAGAGATGTGAGTGACATCGTTTTCGATGTGACTCTTAGTTCTTAAGTGTACGTAATTGGCCAACGGAGCTCCCAGTCTGGGTCAAAATGAACACACTCAAACCATTGCCCGCAGGAGGACCCCACCATGCATGTTACAGGAGCATGGTAGGTCTATATTATAGTATGAACCCCGAGTTTGACACCATGAGCGCCTGGTGCTCCAATATGTCCAGACCTTCAGCCCCAAGAGGATTGACAGACCAGTCTTCTCCGGATCTCTGGGGATCTTGACCGACCCCAAGTGACGCCCAGTTCAGCCCAGCAACGAACTCCCAAGTATGCAAATCCGCAATTTTTGTTGGCTCATTCATAGGCTGGTGCTCGGTTCCTCTAAGAACTTCTTGATCGCCGAGTGGATCTATCGCTGAAGACCAAAGAGGTGCTCCAAGGGCTCATTGTATTGAGCATGACATTGCAAACAACGACATACACACACATACACATATATATACATATAAAATATATATTTAAATATATTTGACTCATTTGACTATTCTTATTAAATCATTTTAAATCCATCGGCAAGCTAAGAAGACCCAAATTGTTCCTCCACACTGAGATCGGAGGATGGGACTTCTCCTCCAAACCCGTGCAAAGGGCTCGCAACCACAGTGGGTCGTGAAGCTTTTAAATCTCGGAAAAAATCGGCCAATCGCCGCACCAAACGTCCTGAGAGGCACAGAATGGCACAAACACCTTTGAATTGATCGGAGTTCTGAGAAGTTTGTGAATCGGGCTGGACATGCGCCAAGCATACCAAGGTTCACAGTGGTCACTCGGGAGCCCATGTACACTGCTAAGGGAACGGGAGAAAGCATAAGAAAGAAATAGACCCTTCTGTTGTAGAACTCATTGTTTAGGGCTTTCAAAGTTGGAGGGTCCTCCAAACTCTCAACGACATCTTCATTTTCTCAAAAACACTGGATGACACCAAGCGCCATTTCTGGAGTTTTCGCAACTCGCAGTGTGTTCCACGCCCCCCCTCTCCTCACGGGGAGGTCTTCTTCACCTTCACCACGGGGACCAGCCCAGCGGAGATCGCGCCCATGAGGCCGGCAGCCACCAAAGCACCCTGCATGTTGTAAGGCCCGTGAAGCTCCTTGGCCGCTACGCCACCTGAGAGTTGGAGTTTTTCGCGGCAAAAAGTGGATGGTGCACATTGGGAAGGTGTGTGGCTTCTCTAGCTCTACTGGTTGTCTCATTAAACCAAATTTCAGGGGTATGGTCGCCCCAAAATCTCCGGCAATCCCAAAAGGCAGGGAACTTCTCGTGAACATCCAGAAGGGCCATAGGTACGGTGAACGCAGGCGAACAGGGCTCTAGAAGTCACGGCCACATGTGGCCACCGGGCTCATGGGGTTGTGAGACATGGATCTAGACTCCAACTCTGACTTGGTGGAGAGTTACGGGGCTAATGGGCTATTTTGAGGTCTTGGGGGAATGAAATGAAAGACCATTATTTTTGGAATATGGTCTTTCTAAGTCTTTCTAAAGAACTCTGACCTAAACATAACCCCTGCCTCGATTATTGACAGCTCCCCTGCAAGGGTGTCGGTTGGGATCTGTTCTCAGTCCACATGAACTGGATCAACATGCAATACCTTGGGAACGAAGCAATTGGCAGGTCTTTTTCCTCTTCTTCGGTCTTCTCAGAAAACTTGTGGACTTCTCTCATGTGCGGACCCCCTATTCTATTGAAATTTCAAAAGATGTTCAAAACATTCTGGACTTTGCTGTTTCAGAATGTCTTAAGCTTTCTTTGAGGATCTCCTGCACCTCACCACCGTCACCAATTTTCACCGCTGCAACTCCCAGCACCGCGCGTCGTGTACGATGCGAAATCTCGGACAAGAGGCCCAGCAAGAAGAAGAGGGTGCCCGCGAAGAAGAGCAAGACCTGGATCGCTTCTGGTCAGGAAAAATCGATTTTGGGACAACAAACAATGCCGCAACTTCGGCTTGGTATGCCGAGCCGGAAACAAATTGATGTTGGGGAGCATTTTGTCTCCAGAGAACAAGACCCTGAAGATTCGGATTATGGAATTCTTTTGCCTCCAACTTGGGGTGGTCTGCAGTTGAATCTTGTTTCGCTTGTCGTTGGGTCAAAGGCGCATTGGGTTTCTCCTGTGGAAATCGCCACCAAAAAATTTGACAAACCTGCGTGTTTGAGGGAGCAATATGAGCAATCTCGGGCTCGTGAGCGGCTCCCTTTCGTCCGATCGGCCAGAAGACTCCGGAAGAACCCTGTAGAGGTTGGCAGTTGGACGAATCAAACACCCCAAGACTGTGGATGTTTGACCATCTTGTCTTTGGTACGAGTTTATGTGAGAAAGCGTGAGGCCAAACATGTTGACGTTTGAAAGTGTGCACCATGGTTGACTTCAGTATTCCTCCTGTCTTCTCACGTCAACATGACTGGCCTCCTGTCTTCTCACTTGGACCACTTAGGATCCGAATCACCATGAGGATGAAATTGGCGTCTCTCTTTACGCCAAGTGAAAGGTATCATCTGCTATCTGCTCTTTCATTTTTTGTTCTGTGGGTAAGGACAGGGGTGGTGGAGAGGCAACTGGACAAAACCCGAATGCAATCACAATTCTGCATCGGGCCTCGGGTCTTGACAATTTCATACTAGTTACTAGTATGGTTTGTTGGGAGGATCTCACTCCACACTGGCGCTACAGCATTCCTGGTTGATGTCCACCATCCCCCCAAACCCGATGTCACTTGCCATAATAGCCATTCCGGCCTAGAGATTTGGACTTAAGACTACTTGCTCCCCACTTTAACAGTGGTGGCGGTGGTTACACTCCGACGAACACATCGCATGGAAGTGGAAGTTGGCCCTGTTTGGTATGAAGATGTATGAAGGATCCCTTCCAACATCTTCCAACAAAAACCATGCCATCCACGTCACCATGCATTAGATATGTGATGATATGTGAGTCAAGAGTGTAAATCAGGCCGGACTCCCACTTCCACACCTCCGCCGGACTCCCACTTCCGCCTTGAGGAGGGTAGGAGGCTTCTCGCCGTTCATGGTGGCACGGGCCCAGGCGCCGAAGCCGGTGCCCACGTCGGTGAGGTAGCCTGGGGCCCACGAAACGGGGGGCTGGGAGAGTCATCCTGAGTAGCTCCTGACCCCCAGTTCATTCAACTTGGAAACAGAAAGTGAGGAGAGTGAGACTCGAAATCCCCAAGTTTCTCTTGGACTCATACCAGCCGTCTCCTTTTCCAACCCTCCTTTTCAGATTCCCCTCGCACCGAGGCACCAGTGAAGTGAGTGGTGCAAATGGGCAGCGACAAGCAGCGGCGGGTGATGCCGTTCTGGATACCCTGAGAGAAGGCGAAGAGCAGCAAGCATTCCTTGGTCACATCGTATCACGGCTTTGGAGGCCACTACGAACCGGGTGGAGGTCGTCGGCCCAACCCGGGGTACCTTGGTTGACCGAACATGAACAGAATGGACAACCATTATGCCTCCCTCCATCGTTGGGGGTATTGCTGGTCGCCACATGGCTGCCATCCCGACTGCTTTGCGGCTTGAGCTTGATGAAGCTGCTGCGACCCATGATACGCTTGTCGGCCTGAAACTCGACAAAAGCAAATGTTTCGATCGCATCATCCCCTCTTTTGTTGCCATCATTCTCCTCGCCCTTGGCTGTGCCAAACATGTTGTGAGTATTTTTGTGCGGCAATACAGTGGCTTGCGTAAACATTTGTCCTATAGGGGTTGGACGATGCATACTGCCACAACCTCACCGAATGGGGTTGCCCAGGGTTGCTCGTTTTCGTTAATTGCCATCAATGCCTACATGCGCTCATGGCTAGCATTTCTGCACGATATTCCCCACATCACGTGTAGGATCTACATTGACGATATTTACCTGTGGGCTTCCATCCAACATATTGCCAATCTCAAAATTGCTCTTGAAGTCACCCAGCTTTGGGACACCCTTGTCGGACAGAAGCTTAACCCTGATAAATCTGTTGCTTGGGCATCGAACTGTGATGGTCGCAAAACCATGAAACGGACATTCTCCGATTTCTTGATTCATGAGGTCATTGATGTTTTGGGAACCAAACTTTACACCTCCCAGCGCAACTCTTTTGAGTTCCCTGAGGAAAAGACCCACAAGATTCTCCTGGACATTCGTAACATTGGTGCACTTCCTCTACCGAGGAAAATCAAAAGTCAGCTTCTTGGAGCCAAGGTGATCCCTCAATGCAGTTATGCTGCCCACATCACTAAGATCCCCAAAGCTGTCCTTGATAAGATTCAAGCTGAAATCACTCAAGCCCTTTGGGGCAACAGACCACACTGGCGTGCCAAACACCTCGTTCTGGGGTTTTTGGCGCAACCGCACAGAGTTGACCCGTATATTGCTCGGGCTTACAGTGCTGTTCTTGATTTCATGCGGTTCCTGCACATTGACCCAGAGAATTTTGATCGTCTTTGTCGAGCTGCGCCTCTCTCCACAGTCAACAAATATTCCTTATTTACAGGAATACGTGATGCCTTTGCTGCTTTCGGCATCTCTTTTGACACAGATCTTCATGTTGCTGTTGGAAATGGGCCTAAGCTCAACCTTCGGGAACTATCGGCCCGTGACTTGGCACCTGTCCTCAAACAGTTTGCGGTGCAGATTCACTATGACCACACGGCCAACCTGAACAGAAAGGATTTCTTTAAACCGCAGGGGTTTGTTGATGTCTTTCATTCCAAGCTGTTCGCTACCAAGTACTGTGCTATTAGTGGATCCGAACCTCCACTCCGCACGCATTTTGAGGCCCAGCTGGTAGGGTGTACCATCACCAATGACAGGCGATTTGCCGCCAAATCTGCTGAGTCACCTTCGTGCCGCTTCTGCAAGACCGCGAAAGAATCTTTGGTCCATATTTTACAATGCCCGGCTGCGCAGGAGCATTTTCAGTTTGGCCCTCAGCATGAATTTGGTCAAAACTTTTCGCAACTGGGTATAGTTGAGCATCCTTGGCCTATAATCCGCCACCGGCTTCATGTCGACAGAGCGGCAGACATTCCTTGTGCAACTTTTGATAGGCCCGATCATTACCTCTCAGTTTGGACAGATGGCTCGGTTTTCTGGAGTGAATGTTTCCCACTCACTGCTGCGGGTTATTCCATTATCAATGAGGATGGATCCATTTTTGATGCTGGCACAGTCTCACACTTGGCGCTTTCGTCCTTTTCGGCGGAACTATGGGCTGTGGTTATGGCGACCCTCAAAGCTGATTGTTGCCTTTGTGTCTATAGTGACTGCCAAGAGGTGGTGGCCATGGTCAATCTTCTTGTTCAGAGGCGGTGTATTCCTCGCAATTGTTTACACCTTGAGTGGTGGCAGACACTGCTTGCTGTTATCAATTTGCGTAGTCTGTCCAGTGATGGCCCAGTGCTCACCATGGTCTGGATTCCTGCTCATATAGATGATGCCCTCCCGATTTCACTTATTCCGGCTGTTAAACTTCAACAAGCTGGTACCACAAGGAAACATGTTGAGCTGAACCGCGTGGCTGACAAAGTGGCTAAATACTTTGCGTTACAACGTTGCGCTATTGCACCACGGGACAAGACGATGTTTCAAGATGCGGTGTTACACCAACAGGAAGTGCTGACGCAACTGAACAAGTTTATTGGCTTTGAATGTGCTGAGGAGTTTGTTGATGCGTCTTCACCTCCCAAGCCTTTGTGCCTTCAAGATTTTCAGAAGTGTTACCCCGGCCTTGCCTGGAGTTGTTCGGAACAAGCTCTTGACCTAGTCTTCAACATTCCTGATGGTCCGCCACCTTCTAAGGCAGATCTCAGTCATGCTGATTGGGACCAACTCCGTACATTTTTGAAGTCTTTGCATTGGATTTCGGGCCTGCAATATATGTGCACATATCAGGAACTTGCTTTCTTTTTCACATCCGGGGCTTTCGACTGCACAAACGACCTGCACACTTTCAGGACCTTGTATTGCAGCTGCGGAAGGCTATTGTGGCTTTATACAAGTCTTGTCCTGATCTCCCTGGTAAACCCACAGCTCGCGCGACCAAATGTATAGGGAAGGTCCTCCCACAGGGTGCTCTGGTGGGCGTCCTTCCGTTCTTTGCTCGGAACGAGCTCCTTGCTTTTGCCCGGGTGCTGGCGAGTGGCGCGGGTCGCTTTGCTGACTCGTGGTCTTTCACTTTCGATCTTTTGCTGTAGTCTTCTAATTTGTGCATCTTCATGTTCAACGATCAGAGAGTCGTGGACAAGACATTCTCACTCTTGAGACTTGTCAGCGTGTGAACAGAATGGACAACCTACAGGAGGTGAACGTCACGATTCATCTTCATGTGCTGCAAATCTTAAGGCCTTTTTTTTCCCCAGATAGCCCTGGAGCGCTCCGGGCTATCTGGATTGTGGACACCACTGGGATTTGCTTGGACTAAGAAAACACAACATGTTCTGATCTGAATGGGGAAGAGATCAACTTCAGATTCCCGAGACTGCACAGTATGCTGCCTAAGACTGTCAAGTTCCAAAGGATTGAGCAGAGACAAAGAAAACTTGAGTTCCTTGCCTTCAGCCAGCAAGCAGAACCCTCAAATTGCCTTCGATATGCTTAGGGACGTCCCAACAACCTGTCATTGAGGTGCCCTTTGCGCATTCCCCTAAGAAGGGGCATACCAGGGCATCCGACCTAGTGCATCCTCGTGCAGGATTTGGCCTATTAACAAGTCTAAGGACTTCCCCAATCTTTCACCTCGGTCGATTTGGATGCTGAATGGCTAACTCATGGCGACTGAAGACTGTCTCCATCTCTACAAGATTTACAACATACAGGTTCAACCCCTCAACAGGTTCGGAGTCGGGAAGTCGTGAGTTGAACCTTTCGCCATCCGAGCATCCGAAGTGTTGTCATTGCCCGCACCGCCATGCTCCTTGCAGTAGTGCACCGTGCATCCAAGCACCACCGCGATGGTGGCAGCCAACAAGTTGGGGGAGTAGCGGCCTCGAACCAACAGGGCGTCGTGGGTCAGGAACCTCTCGTGGGGGACCATCCTCAAGCTGGTCTGTCAATGATTATTCAGCCTTTTTATCAATATGATCACCATCTTCACAGCATTCTTGGATTGGTGTTGAGTCACAAGAGCGTTCTACAGTAACATGATTGGGGGTTGTCAAAGGATGTCAAAGGCACTAGGATGCACTAGCGGCTTGTTGCGACCAAAATCGATCAGCTGATCGAACCACCACATAACTTCTCGAAGTCCGACGCCAGCAAAGTAAAGAACATTGCCTTTCAAGATCTTGTGGGTTATATTAAGTTATATATATATATAGTTTGACCATTATCTCAGTCTCGAAAACCTTCATGTCTCTGCTGGGATCTTCTCTCGAGGCGGCCAATGTGGTAATTTATGGTAATTTGGACTCGGACAACTAATCGCAAATCCGGGGAATGCGCACAAGTCCTCCGGATGCATCAAAAGATAACTTGCGTGATAATCATTATATCATATGCATTCATATGCATCCTTTTGCCAAACATGGTCAACATGTGAATTAGTGGGTTCCTCAATAATAGATACAATATGATTTAATGGATAGACAGATATCTGATGCAAGTTTGACAGGAAATTCACTTCTAGATGAATTCAAGGGTCACAAACTCAGCGAAAAACAGCTAAACACCAAACACCAAACCACCCAGTCAGGCCTGAGTAGATGGCCTCGCAGTCAGACTTGCTGAAGCCCGCGAAGAAGGAACCTCAAGCGCCGGCGATGTGGGCACCGGTTCCCGGTAGAGACGAACGTAGAGGATGGTGGAGGATTGCAGCTCACCTGTCCCTGATCGAAGTAGTTGGTTTCTTTGTTTCGAAGATGTTGAGTCAACGGGACGCTCTACTTCTTCCTGTTCAACTGAGATGGGGCTTCCAAGACTTCAAGACCCTGATTGTCTTGAAATTCTCCTCACGATAAGACACTCATTCAAATTCATATGTGCAAGTCCTTTTGGAGCCCTGTTGCCCTAATTACCTTTTTCACACACCTGGTCACCTGCTCCAAAACATAAACACAGGACACCAAAGAAGGGCACATGGTTTTATCAGGTGAGTCAGGCAACCCTTCCAAGCCGAACTGACTTCGATCAGCAGATCTCGTGTGCTCTCGTGTTCTTCTTCTTTACCAAAACAAAGGAACACCTCCTCGTCGCCCACTGCGACCCCGTCTCCAGCGAGAGATCCCCGTCTCCAGCGAGGCCCAGCGGCCGAAGCAGAAGGAGGCCAAGAGGTGTCCGAACTTGGCGCCGCCGTTCATGATGAGACGCCCCGTGTGAGACGTGTTGCCCGACTGGTGAGACACCGTCATGCCCATGTCGATGATGGTCAAAGCGTTCACCTGCGAATGAAGAGGAATCTGTGGGAACCAGGATAAAGAGGGCAGGAGAGACCCAAACAGTCTTCAAGAAACCGTGTAATGTCTGGTGAATCATTGGGGAAGTCTTTGGCTTCCTTCATAACCTGCTTCGATCTGGTGTCGAGGCTTGACATGCCAGGGTGCAATGCCGGAGGCGAAGCAAAGGATGTTCTGAATCATCAAGAAGCCTCAGCTCTGAATGGACAAATTACAAAAGAGACCTAACACTTGGCAAGGGACAACTAGGTGACTGTTGGTGAACCGTTTCCCTTAATATAGAATCTTCTGTTGTACTGGTGATGGCCAGGTTAGCCAGGTTTGTGTCTTTTTGACTCCCATGCTGAATGAACCAGGCGCACATGAACCTATGAAAAGCCAGCGGCCGTAGTAGACATGACTTGAGGGTGAAACTGGCCGTGCGACCATTGCAGCTTCAGGGAGAGCTCACTTTGGTCTCTGAGAAAGACACCACCCTGCTTTTGACACTTACACTTACCATCCTTTACCGGGCCGCTGCCAGTGATTGGCGCAACTGGTTTCAAGAACACTTCACCCCATCCGAACGAATGTGTATCATCGCAGGGCACTCTAGATGGAATAAGCTGTATCACTGTATCATATATAACTGAACTGCATATTCAAAATTATTCAAACAATGAACCCCAATGGATTCTATATCATCTTCTTGCCCTTAGCTCCCTATTCAAGATATTCAAGCACTTTGTGAGTTTTCAGAATCCACTTTTGCTTTCACACAATCAGTGGACCAAGACTTCCAACCTTCCACTCACCGGAACACACACCCGATGCGCTCACCAAGAGGCTGTTGTAGTCCGCGCGGTCCTCCGCGTTGCCCTGGCGAGGGGTGGCGGAATTCTCGGTGCAGCAGAGCGCTCCGCACAGGGCCATGCTCAGGAAGCCTCCGGCGAGACTCGACGAGGACGAGAAGACGCGACGCGAAGAAGATCCGTCGTCTCCGACGGTACGGCAAGAGTTGCCACGTATGGCTTCTTGCTGAAAAAAGCATACGGTAGAAGAATACGGTAGAAGAATACCTGCACGGTAGACGTTGTTTTGAACAAATGATCCAGGTACTGATCCAGGTATATCCAGGTTGTTTGAGGGCTTTTTGTTCGCAGGCAAAATTAACCATACATCGTTTGATCATTTGCTCTGATTTCGCCTGCAGCCTGACAGAACAAGCATACGCAAACCGCAGTCTCGAAGTCGATCAACTTTGACATGGGCTCCTCTCGTCATGGATCGACTTACACCCTGGAAGACTAACATGGAACCTGAAAACCACTGGGGTTGTATATAGAGGAAGATAGTCTTGTGGGTCTCTTCCCTGGTGTAAAGCTCAATTCGTTTCTCCATGAAGTCTACCATCTCACCGACCGTGAAGATGACACATCACCAAGGCACTGAAGAGGAGTGGATGCTCTGCCACCAACTTCACACCAGTGGAAACATCCGTCTCCTCAATGACCTCTGTCTTGGTGAATGCTTGCTGTGCAGAAAAGGTCCAAATGCTGCCTCAGCTGGCTGCCGAAGGGCTTGAAGGCTTGAATGAATACACCTAGAGTGTGCGAGAGCGCCTCGGGTTTTACAGCAACACTTAAAGCATGTCCATCATGTCCAGCTCCCAAATAATGTCTGGAACAGCTACAGCTACAGTATGTTACAGTACAGGAAATTCAGCGACCCCTGTAGGCAACAGGCCTTTGCTAGCTCCAAAGCTTTGACTGAGAGAATCAGTGGTTGCACTTCCTGGGTGATTCTCCAAAAGTATCCACAAATTTTGAAGTTCAGAAAGGCTCGCTCTGTCATGCTCCTTGTGCTAACAGGGTCACCCTTCTTGACTTCTGCAACTCATCTCATCCTTCTCAACCGGCCCAGCTGCACAAGCACAGGCCCAAGAGCACTGCTCCGCGAATGCGTCGGGGCTGAACGGCCATGGCTGAATGTTGGAGGTGGCGGAACCGTTCACTGGCTGGGGGGCTGGATGTGCCGAGGCTGCAGACAATTGCATTTTCGGGTGCAGAAGACGACCGAAGCCGAAGTGAAAAGGACTTGCGGTGAGGATTTTCTGGCTCCATCCTCACTCCATCCTGGGCAGCTTGGTAAATCAGAATGTGCCTGTTCATCAGGATTTCTTCACCCGGGTCTGGTGAGAACTGAGTCCCCTTGACCGAGACATCTTTTGGACATCCATTGGGCATGGCCATGGGGGCACTTCCCAGGGAATTTGAAACGAACGGTGGGAAGCTTTTAGCGAAGATACGTTGTTAATATGAGGGCAGCAGAAAGGGTCCAGGATGATTCATGACAGAATCCCCGGTTCACAGATCTCCCCCAAACATCAAATGTAATGAACATGTTACTGTACTGTAATTGAACCGAATTATATAATTGTGTTTGATGGTAGGTTTTTGTTATTCTTATTTTTACTTTTCCTTCTTTAATATCAACTCGTATCTTGAGGTCACAAAGGATGTCAACCTCACGGCCCAATGGAAGTCATGTGCGAAACACCCGGAATGGCTCCAGGAAGAACGCGCCTCATGGTCTTTGCGGAAGAAAAGGCGATAGGGATGTAGAGCATTCTGGTCAAAGAGATCCCCATCTGCTGTGTAGGTCTCATAGGTGGTGTATGTGCCTTGAATCATGGCACCAGGAGAAAACAATAGCACACATGTCTTCTTCATAGTCCTGTTGGCATGGGAATCTGTACGCGAATCTACGTTTCTGGGGTGCCTAAGTTACCTCTCATAGATCGTCAACCGCACAAAATAATACAGAACATCGCCCAGTGGATCCAGTGGAATCTGTTGGAGCCGAAGATATCACCCAACTCCCACCCCGAAGTGATCAAACATCCCCAGGCGTTCCAAATGCACTGTTTCGAGCTTTCTAGAACCTGGAACGCTTTTCAACTCTAACTTGCTGCAGACCAATATCACTCAACCTTGATCCATCAAGACCACGGAGCTGTGGCGGCCTTTCAGATGACACGTGCACACACACACACACACCCGCACACACTTAGGATATTGTGTACTGAACTGAATGCGGTGCCACACGCCGGCCTAGGGTTCCAATTCCTAAGAGTACCGGTAGGGAACCAACGAATCCTGGGGGTCTTCAACCGGAGAAGTGGCCCAAAAGGAAAAGACCGAACGACGGACGAAACAAGGCTGACGACGTTCCGCTCGCATCTGCAGTTCAAAGAAACCATCAAGTCGTGAGGTTCTTGGCTTAGCCTCTTGCCATTTGAAAAATGGAAAATTGCAGGTACACAAGAAGGCGTCCCTTCTCGCTTCACCAGTTGTGAGCCCGTCTTCGTTGGTCCAGGGACAACTCACAACTGCCTGGACCCCCTGCTGTGGTAAGAACGAAAGTGTAAGAAAACAGGCACAGCAAATCCAAAAGGATCCCTATGATTCCAAGGGTTACACACACACGCCTCCCCGAAGGGAGGCAAGATTTTAAGCTCCGCGCCAAAGTAGGGTGAGACTAAGAGAAGCGACGGATCTCACGGTAAGTCTGATAGGCGGTCAGTGGTAGCCGGAGTTGACCAATGGCGTCATCATGGAGGCGAGGAGCGACTGTGTGGAGAGGTCGGTAGGGAAAAGGAACGGAGTCGCGTGGGTATTCAGTGGCTAGTCCCTGTGGGCGTACCCGTCGAGAGTTGACGTAGTAAAGGACGAGGTCTTCAAGGGTGCATGTGTGTGGGACTTCCCAGACGCGTGAATCACCGGTCGAAGGAAGAGCCATCCAGAAGGCCGTACGATGTAGACCTAAGCGGGAGTAGATCACATCTTTGAGATCATCAACCGTGTACTCTTTGGTGTCAAGTTGCTGCCAGTCTAGGGTCACAGTGATGTAGTTCAGGGGTTGATAAACAAGCAAGCTGACATCCAATTCAAATCGGACTGTAGAAAGGTCAGGAACCATGTCCAAGGTTTCAATAGGTTGACGAACTTCACTCCAAGATGTACGCGATGTAGGAATCAGGTGTGTCAACGGCTCAGGTACGCGAAGACCGGGAGACGAAATCATCGATCAGGGCGAAGAGTAGGGGAGTAGCGGGTGAAGCAGTGGAAGTAATGAGCCAATGGCTGCGGTGAAGGACAGTTGAGATAAGTGATCTAATGGAAAACATTGAAGGAAAGGAAACAAAAGCAGAGAAGTAGACAAGTAGGAAAAAGGATTTCAAGTAAATTTTCTCTGCAAAGCGAAGATGATGTTGAGTGCAGGGAAGCTTGTACGGCCTCGACCTGCAGTTGAAAAACAAGAGTCGAGCTCAATCTCGAGGGCAGTCAGTAGGAAAGGGAGGTTCCATAGTGTGTTGAGACTCGGTCGATGTGGAATTCAGAGACATAGATCCTGAATCGGGTAGGGGAAGAGGAAGTCCGGTGCCTTCGCTGACAGGATCGGAGGTAGCAGTCTGGCCAGGAGGGGCCGAAGAAGCTGCAGTGGAGCGGCCCGGGGGCAGGAGAGGGTCATCGGGTTGGTAAACTTGGTGAAGTTCATCACGATAAGTGTTGAGGGTGTGAACGACCCCGCTGATGAGTTGTTCTTGGTGTGGAACGGGTAGGCCCTGAAGGATAGGTACCTTGGAGACATCAAGCTGAGAGAAATTCTGCAAGAGGGCTTCGATTTGCTACTGGACATTGAGATGTTCCAGATTGTCCACAGCCTGTCGCTTTTGGCCCCTGCGGGGGTGAGGTATGTGATGAAGTTGTTGAGCAGCTGCAATGCGTTCTTCCTCAGCACGAAGAGCGGCTTCATATTCCTCGCATTGTGTCCAAATGGAGAGGCTTTGTGTGGCAGATAATACAAGCTGCCAACCCCGGGTGCCCCACACACGTGAGTATATCGAAGGCCAATGGGAAGCGGGGTGGTCATCGATAAAGTAACCGGTTGCAGATTTGTAGTATTCAATGTCCTCGTGATCCCAAGGAAGGGTCTTGTGGTGGAACCAAGCGCGATAGAACCAATAGCGGGTGTTATGGGATCGACGACAAGCCCATTCTTCAAAAGGTTCAGCGACGGGCCAAGATCCATAGGTGGTATTGTGAAATTGACGAGCGTAGTCGGTATAGTCCTCGTTGTATTGGTTCTCGGAGCGAGGAATGCTCGTCAATAGAGCCGGGTCCGCAGGAGGCGTGAGGTCAGACGTGGGATCCTGGTGAGGAAGGCTATCATCAGGAGGAACCTGTGTCGGAGATGAATCTCCCGAAGGGACACGGACATCTTCTGGTTGAAGATCCATATTGTCCATGTCGAACAAAGGTAGGAGAAAAAAGCAACGTAGAACCGAAAGGCTGCGGAAGAAACGGAGAGATGTAATAGTGGCAAGCCGAGGCAAAATCACGGTAGCACATCAAATGGAGTCGGTAAAGGGGTTGTTTTCACAGGAAGCCCCGTCTGAATTCTGAAATTAAAATAAAAAAAGGCTTTGCCTCAGGAAGTCGAAAAGGACGTGATGGTCGGGGGATCAGAAAGGGTATCTCCTCGCCGTTGAGCTTGACAAGTAGTCCTACCCAAGGTCGAGCCGAAATTGGAGTAGAGTCGCTCGAGGGAAGTGTAGTCGCCGTGGATGTGCTCGTACTCGATGGGATCGAGGTAGTGGAGGTAATCCGCAAGGAGGTAGGAGGTTCTGTCGGACGCGCTTTCTTGGGGAAGGTGGTGGAGATGAGGACAGGTTCATCTGAATCCCGAAGATAGGAGGCCATGGAGGGGCGAGAGCGCCGGATACCTGTCGCAGGTGAATTGGTCATCGATCGTGTGAAAGCTGCGAAAACAAAGGCGGTGAGACGAAGCTTGGGCCGATAGGCTGACAGGACAAGGGCATGGAGACGGAGAAGGTGCAGTTGAATAAGGAAAACAATCAAAAGTTTGACGTGAGGGAAGGAATCATAGGAGAAAGTGAAGTATCAATTCAAAGAGCTCCAAAAAGAACATCGGCGAAAGTCGCTTTCCGGTGTCCGTGAGTCGGTGAGTCAAAATTCAAAGATGAAGATCAGGATGTAGCCAGCCGTTGTAGTTCAAGAAGTTCAGCCCAACGAGCGCGGATTTGGGATTCTGGGCGCTGCATCTTCTTGGCGATGTAGCGCCAACTGGGTCGAAGTCGTTCATTGCAGTTGAGGCTGAGGAGGAGGTCATCATCTTTGGTGCTCCAATCGTCTTCCCAAGATGTGTCTGAGTGGGGGCGAGGGGATGCAGGGAGAAAGGAAGGCGAAGGCGAGGGGGAGGGGGAAGGTGAGCGGCGTTTGCGGGGACGAGAGGGAAGGGGGCCATGGGGGGCGGAGGAGACAAGTGAACAGGATGGGGAAGGAGAGGGAGGAAGGAGGGCCTGAGAAGAAGGAGGTGGGTAGGCGAAGTCAGGAGGAGAGAGAACAGGTGAAGGAGGAAAAGAGAGTGGGGGAGGGGAAGAGGGGGCGCCGGCATCGGCGGGGAGCGGAGAAGGGGAGGGGACAGGGAAGGAGCAGAAGGTCGAGGAAGGGGGTGGAGTGTGGGGGAGGAGGGGGGGGCAGGGGGAGTCCGCTTCCCAGCTGATGATGTTGGTGACGGCGATGGAGTCCTCGGAAGAAGCGGTGAAAGCTCGGAACGAGGTACCGGTTGTTCCGGTTGTTCACAAGGCGCCCAACTGATAGATGGTCTCGTGGCGGTTTGAAACAATGGCGATGCCGGACTGGCAGGTGGTCTGGAGGGGCAAGAGCCCGAGGTCATGTCCACATGTAGCGTCCGGGTTTTGAATCATGTCCACCAGTAGTCGAAGTGCAACAATGACGATATTGAGTTGCGTCGCAATAGTAGAGACCAGGTCTGAAGTAGTCGATTGTGACATGGTCGAGAAATAAAAAAAAGGGTGAGGAAAGCACCTTTGAGCCGAGAAGCTGAGAGAAAGAGATAAAAAACAGAAGTAAGGAAGTAAATTACAGGGAACAATGGACGACACATGACAGCAGTGAAGGAAATCGGAAGGAATGCACGGTGTGTTTTTTCAAGCGATAAGGGGTCTCAGGTGCTACATACAGAGAAAGTGAGAAACCGAAGCTGAGTGTGGAGTGGTCGTCTTGGTAGGTGAAAACAATGGCAAAGTTGATGAAGAAGTGGTAAAAGTTGAGCCATAGTGAAGTCCTTGTCGAGGTATTGTTGCGTCAGGTCGATGAGTTGAGGAAAGATCAAATCTCGGGGGCGAGTCAAGCGGCAAATCAAG